AAAACTTTTGTTAGTATATTATAACAAAATTATCATACTCTATACTTGAACATACAATTGTATAATTATCAATTGATATTTGGATATTCTGTGAATATGAATAATAATTTTTTTTTGGGAATATGCTTTAACTATCTGGTAAAAAGTATTTAATTTAGTATTATACATTTATTGTGTTTTGGTTGATCAAAGAATAACTAATTGGAGTCTCATTTAAACATTCATTGGTTATTATGGTAACAATCAATTATGATTAGGTATCCAATAACTATTAAATTAATGATTTAAGACATGATATGGATATTTTTGTGGGAGATTCATAAATTTTTCTGAATAACGGATTATTCATAGCATACCTAAAAGTGGCTCATTTGGTGATATTTTAATATCCCATGCTTGTTCATATATGATGAAATGAAAAATGAATAATAATCTATGCTTATCCCTTATATTCTTTTTGAATATGAAATTAATATCTTATGATTGTCTATGTGCTACTTGGGTAAACCCAATAAATGTCCTATCCTCATGGCCATGCCCCATACTTATTAAAATTAATTTGTTCTCTTTGGCTAACAACTTAATATATAATTCCTTAATGATCTCACCCCTGTAAAATTGTGAGCTTCTGTTTCCTCTAACTGATTAATTTTAAGCTCTGTTATGTTTAAATTATTAAATCAAATTTCTTTTCACAGTTCTACATTTCATTCTGCTCAACCAACCACCTAAATAATGAATATTATTACTTAATATTATTAAATTGGCAAATAAGAATGCTCTTTTACTCACAAATATAATTGCATTACCTTTTATTTTCATACATTTTCAATTTTAGTTAAATATTTAGAATTTTTTAGTATACCTAGTGTAGGACCTAGTCATAATGTTTATATTTAACATTAGGTAGGCATAATATTTTTATATATAAATAATAAGCAAATATACGAATGAATTGACATATAACCTATTATAAAATTTAAAGGTAAAAATATTGTTTTCTATTTTTTTTAAACAACTTATAATAATTTGTAATATTTTCCATTCCAAAACTTTTTTAAAAATTAAAATACACTACAAAACCAACATATTAACTCAGATAATTCTTTTAACTCTGTTCATTATAGGGTGACTTTGATATTAAAGCTAGGTATAAACAAACAATAGGTTATTGCAATATAATACATGTAGTGGCAGGCACGTAGCCAGACAAATTATATCGTGGAGGGGGTCAACAATTTTTGGCCCATGTATCATTTTCCATAATTTGTTTCCTATGAGAAACTTTTAGAGCGTGTAGATTGCTTCTATCTCCATACTCCTCCAGCCCATAACTGTAAAACGTGTTCACAAGACCTAAACCTATATTTGGTGGTTGATTTTAAAACGTAACAAAGTTGCTTCCATATTTTCCACAGTTTCATAAATCGCTTAACCCCAAAATTAGCTTTGCCCGTTAAAATAGTATATGAGTATTAATTAATTTGGAAAATATAATTTAATGATAAATTTTAATAAATATATATTTGTTTTATTTTTTTTAATATTGTTCAATAAATTATAAATATACATTATAAGAATATTTATTTATTTATTTATTTAATGTATTATAAATTCAACGGACAAAATGTCCTAAAAGTATTTGTAGGAAAAAAAATATATTAAATAGATTAGATTTCCAAAACATTAATAATAATTACAAAAACAATAAAAGTACCTAATAGGTAAAATTGACAAAAAAAAAAAAAATTATAACATTATAAAAATCAAATTCTAAATAAAAATAGTTCACCTATACAAATTATTAAGTAAAATTAAAGAATAAGTTTTGGAAGAATAGCGAGACATATATTAAAAAAATCAAGTGAGGTGGAAATAATATTGGATAGTAAAAGAGCTATAGCCTCTAAGGAGGAATGCATTTGTATTTTGTACCAATGTTATTTTTATATAATGGATTTTTAAACAAATCTAAATTACGAGTGTGTTTACGGGGAATATCGAAATTACTTAGGGGCTAGGACTAAGATCTCAGGACAAAATATAACAAAACCATTTAAAATATCAAAAATGAACATTATATCAGCTAATTTAGGTTTTATATCGAGATAATGAAGTCCTATAGAATCTTTGAAGTGATTTATTGAGCTATTTGAAACAGAATAAGCTAAGACATGGGCTATTCATATAATATATGAGGGTATTACCATTTATTATAAAGTATAAGATACTGTGATTAAGTCAGATAACTTTTGACATATCTCATAAAAATCGGATATATAATAGGAATCCGTTTTTTTGAAATTTTTATGTTTTTATTTAATAATTAAATATTTTGTCAGAACTACCATATTTTAAAATAATTGGACGGTGTTTGTGAGAAAGGGCATAAGTCAATTTTTGACATTTTCATATTATACATTAATTTAGAAGGAAATTTCAAGCCGCGTCGTTTGGTACAACTGTAAATTGTCCATCTGTTGTTGTTACCAAAATACATCCATGTGCGTTTAGACATGGTTAAAAATACAAACTATTGTGTTTGTGAGAAAGGGCACAAGTCAATAATATTATGCATAGTCATTTTACTAAAATCAGTCCAATGTGTATGGTGTTTTATTTTAAATTGTATATTATTTTAATCATTCGATTAATAAATTTTAATATTATTATTAAAAATAGCTAATAGCTACTATAAAAATAACATTTAGTTATGACGTCTAAAAGAACTGAACAGTTATTGAAAATGGTCATTGGTAAGTATTTCATATTATTACAATATTATTTTATGATATTATACACTTATGACTGATTAATATTACTAGATGTTCAAAAATATAATTTTTATTTTATTTGAAAATTTAAATTAAAAGATAAAACAAATGAAGTCTCAAACATTAAACCAAAACCAAAAGCTTTTTGTCGAAATTTAAATCGTCAGTTTGAATCTGAATACAAATGACAAAAAACAATAGTAAGTCCGACATCTACTATACAGCCGATCCAGTTTCCGGTTTTTTAATTTTAAAATGTTCATTTTAATTTAGAACTGGGTTAATCAAACCAATTTTAATGAAAGTGATAACGCTGGTGGTTGAATAACCTGGATTCACGACAATTGAGCGCGCGACAATTGGGCGAAAACTATTGAGCGCACAACAATTGAGCGCTACGAAAATTAAGGGCAATATAAATCTTAGGTTAGGTAATAATTTAAAAAAATAAAAACAAAAAATTGTATAGTTAATAATACATTATCAGTCATAACAGTCAATATCAAAAAGTGTATAGTAATAATTAAAAAATAAAATAAAAAAAAAGTCATAGTATATTGGTTAATAATACATATTACAAGTATACAAATTCATATAAAAATTAAAACATTAAATATTTTGAGCAATGCCTTTTAAAAACTGCTCAGTTGACCTTAAATTAAACTGTTCACAAATATTTGTTATTCTTAATCCTGAATCTTTGTATTTTTTTTTTGGTTTTGGATCAACCTAACCTAACCTGCAATAAACTGGTGAATTCTCACGCGATTCAACTTTTCCTCCTTTTTTAAAGCGTCGATAAATTTCTAAATTGATGGATGAACTGCATTTAAAATTTATTTAAATGAATTATGCCATCCTTCAATGGCATTGTTGGTCCTTGGTATGTCATCTTTAATCAAACCATAACAGTTCCATAATTTTATTGGAAATTTTAGGGATCTTCGTTGCCTGTTACGACTAATACGACCTATCATGTGTCTTCAAAATAGTCTAAGAGAGGTGTCAATATTGTTTCATGTTCTTTATAAAAATCAGTTTGGAATAGGTCTTCAAATGCAGTAATAACAGACTCTGGTGGAACATATGCTAATGCATTTAACATTTTAATATTTAATGCAAACTCGGAATTTTCACGGTATTTTACGGCAAGTCCCGTGTTTTGAATATGTCTCCATATAGATTGACAAAAGTGGAAAAAACATCCATTTATTTCCGTTTGAGGAAATACCTTTTTCACTGCATTTATTGTAGATTGTTCGTAATCTAGCATTATAGAAGTTGGATTTAATTCTGGTTTTAACTCTAAGATTTTTTTAAATAAACGAATGTATATTTCTTCAGTTTTATTTGGAAGGAGTGCAAAAACGGATGGCAAAACATTACTATATTGTACACCATGAAATGTATATAGCTGATAACAGGGCCTGATTAAGGAGTTGGTCACCAGTAGGCTAGGGTTGATTTGGCGCCCCTATGAATGATCGAAGTGGTTGGAGGGTAAAACGAGGATTAAGAAAACGTAAAAACAACTCTTTTTTTGTTTAAAATAAAATGTGTTTTATATTTATTAAAATTATACACAAAAGCATTTCAACATTTTTAATTTATGATTGAACTAAATATTATTCATTTACAAAAGTTTTTTCCTTGATTTTAACGCTGCGAAAGACTCTACTATTTCATCGAAAGAAATATTGTTCATGAATTCACTTTCAATAAACAAAAGTGCAAGGGCCTTCATTTTATCCTGGCGTAAAGTGGATCTTAAAATGTTTTTCACCCGCCCTAGAGCAGAAAAAGATCTTTCTCCGCTACAATTTGTGACGGCCATTCTCAAATATATTCTTAGAGCCACTTCAACATTTGGAAATAGTGACTCTATCTTCAAGGATTTTAAATGACTCAAAAGTCTTATATATAATATTAGTGGATGTGGGATCGCTCGGTCGTCGGTGCGATAAGCCCGCGACGATTACAAGAAATAGGTATATGACAAATAACGTAATATATTAGTATATTACAATAGTCGACCGGGCGGAAATTCGTTGCGGCGACGCGGTAACGGCACGGCGAATAGGCCGCGGCATTGAACGTGTAATAACGAAAATATAATTTTTTTTTTTAAAGTATATATTATGCAAAAATTCTACATTCGTAAAAAAAAAATTTGTGGCGCCCCCAAAACGTTTGGCGCCCTAGGCTGTAGCCTACTTAGCCTATTGGTTAATCAGGCCCTGGCTGGTAGAAAATACTAGGTGACGATGAAAAAGTACCGTCAATATACAAATGTTCACAATCAACCATCATATCAAGATTTTCCGTAGTTGAAAAAATTAATATGCGTGGAATTTCTTGATTTTGTGAGTAGCTATCATCCAATAAAAATGGTTTACCATCTAATGTTGTTGTAAACTCGGGTGAAATGATCAACTCCTTCAATGAAGCTGGAATTGCTAGTGCCATTAATTCTTTTTGGCGAATTCGTTGAACCGTTTTTTTCATCGAATCAACTACTGGTAATTGACCAGCAACCGCTTTAGTAACCTACAATAATAATAATGATTTAAAAAATAAAATATTTTAATTTTTTTTTATTTCTAAAACACGAAAGTAAAAATTATAACAAGTCGATACAAATCGACTAACGATTTAATTTAGTTGAAAGTTATTTTTGCATATAAATAAAAATAATTTTAAAACATATTTACAAAACAAAAAAAGGTGGGTAAATGGATGTCGCTCTGCTGTACAGTAGGTTACAAGTGGGTCACTGTATAATGGATGCTTTTAAATTTGAATTCAATGATGCAATATCATTATATAAGAAAAACGATTCTGAGCGAAGACGGTATGTCAGTCTACGTTTAAGACAAATTATATACATATCTATGGTATTAAAAAAAAAATTGACCTATAATAAATTCCAAATTAATCATATCACATTATCACAATGTCCATTAGGTACTTATAACACGTTATACATCAACATCAATAACAAACCCTGATACTATCATAGATATATAATAGTACACTTTAGAAGTTTCAATTAGGTACCCACGAATAATATTATATACCTAATCATAACAAAATAACTAGGTTTTTTAATATGTAATTTCGTCCAAATTTGAACATAAAATGACTATAAAAATAAACTGTGATTGTATATTTTTTGGATTTTTCGGTAAGAGAATTAACTACTTACATGGAATCTTGTTTTAAATTTTCAATCCTTAGCTATAAAAACTGAACATTTTATAATTTATTAATTACGATGATTAATAATTTTTGAGTTTTGAAAAATTCTGTCAAAATTTGATGTTTAAATGCTAATAAAAAAAATTGTGCCAGTGTATTTTTAATATTTTTCAACTGATATTGTAACAATATATCAGGAGCCTTGTATTAGGTACATTTTTACACTTTTTGGCCCAACAGATAAAACTTTATAGATATTCATAGAAAAAAAAACTAAAAAATTGAAAAATGAAAATATCCGTAAACAGCTCAAAAAGAGTCAAAATATTTTCAAAATTGTATGGTAAATAGGAAATGCTAATATAAACATTCAGTAAAATTTCCATGTATCTATAGTTATTCGTTTATGAATAACAACAAAATAAGGAAATCGCTACATGAGAAATCGAGTGAACATCCAATGTTGTAAAAATTTGAATTTCAAACGCTCATAAAAATTTAATTGGACTGTCCGGTAGAGATTTTTTTATTGATACAGGTAGAAAAACTTATGAGTAATCTTGTATTACATTTTCAAATCTTAGATTTAAAAAGAAAAATTTTTACGAATTCTTAACTCAAAATAATTTGCTAATTTTCGTGATTTTTCCATATTTTGTCAATTTTTGAATTTTAAATGCTTATAAAATAAAATTGTGACTAACGATTTTTAATATTTTTCATCTACCTTTGAAACATTATACTAGGAGCCTTCTATTAATTTTTAAAGTTTTTTTAACTAACAAATAACATTTTATTGATATTTCTAGAAAAAAAACTAAAAAAAAATGAAAAATGAAAATGTCCCTTAACTGTTCAAAATAAATCAAAATATTTTGAAAATGTGATCGTGTATAGGAAATGCAAATATAAACAACCAGTGAAAATTTCATGTATCTACGGTCATTTTTTTTTTTTTTTTTTTTTTTTTTTTTTTTAATAAAGTGTTACTGACAACGAGGTCATCTAACTTATTGATAGAATAGAATTTTTAACATGCAAAAGTAGTTATAAATAAATAAGTAAATACAATAAATTGGTTATTTACAAAGATGAGTAGCTAGATAATAATTTGTTTTAAAGTTACACCAAAAACCAAATTCAATTTTCTGAAAAATCGATTTTGCGTAAAAATTCCCGTTTTTCCTTCATTTTTCTTTTGTTTTTCTTGGCGCTTTTGAAAAGTACTGGGAATTTTAAATTTTGACCTCCCCAATGCACCAACGATATTCACTTTCCAATCGAACAAGATACTGAAGTCGAAAATCGAAGCATTATCGTGTACACACTTATCGTGTACACACACAAAAAAAATAAAAAATAAATAAACACACATCATTGTAAAATCAATACATTCATCGTTTCACTCAGAATCTAAAAATAATAATAATGATAAAATATAAATATATAATATATATATTATGTAGATACGTATAAACTATAATGTAACATGTTACTACCATATACATATTATATATATATTATACAGTAATATAATTAATGATCTCATTAATATTCTATATATATAAAAATGAATGTATGTCAGTCTGTGTGTCTGTGTGTCCATGTTACCATGGTTACCAAGGTTGCCATGGTTACTAAGGTTACTAAGGTTTCATGGTTATTAAGGTTACCATGATCCATAGTTACCATGGTTACCATAGTTACCATGGTTACCATAGTTACCATGGTTACCATAGTTACCATGGTTACCATAGTTACCATGGTTACCATGAGTGTTGTAGCTATTATAATCAAAAAAGGTCTTTAATGGGCAACGAAGTGCATGGGATCAGATATTTTATATATATAGTCCGTGTGTGTCCAGTGGACACTGTCCACATTACCATGGCAACCTTTTATATTTTATTTTGTAACTTCCTATGGAAAGTTTTGTATATAAATGGTTGCCATTTTGATATGTAGAACATATTATTCATGTAGAGTTGTAATTTTTAATGTGAATTGATAATCATTGAGATGTTGACGATGTTGTGCTCAAATAGGGATTTTGAGATTTTATATGGACTTTTTCGTTTATAAATAGTTGCCGTGGGTTTCAAAGCTATATAATAATAATAATTATCGGTTGCCATTGGTTAATTTGGTTGTTGTTTAAGAAGACCAGTTGATTTATTTGTGTACGCACCGGACGGTACAACGAAAAATATTGTATATCCAAAAGCACTTCTGTAGATGGCAAGTGTAAAACTGTGCACGAATATTGGGTAATCCATTTTAAGTTAGGTAAGGATAATAATTAATAATGAATATCGAGATTAATATAATCAATATAATTCATATAGAGTTGGTATTTTTATTGGGCAACGAAGTGCACGGGATCAGCTGTAAATTTAATATGTATAAAATATGTATCATGGGAGTTAAAACTGAGGTAGGGTGATCATAAAAATAAAATTATATGTAGATTTATATGTAGTAAAACTTTAAAAAATAATATTAATCTATATATATAAAAATGAATGTATGTCAGTGTGTGTGTATGTGTGTGTGTGGGTCCATATTACCATGGCAACCATATCTGTATATAAAAAACAGTAAGCTGATTGACTGCTATCAACGCACAGCTCAAACCATTGGACGGATCTGGCTGAAATTTGGCATACATATAGCTATTATAATATAGACGTGCGCTAAGAAAGGATTTGCCAAAATTCGAATTTTTAAATAGGTGCTGAAACAGGGACATTGAGATTCACGATAGAAATTGGAAATTTTATTTTTATTTATTTATAGTTGCCATTGGTTACAGTCTACATTAGAAATTAGCATTTATTTATTGGTTGCCATTGGTTATTCGGGCAGATCAGGTACAAGCTTGCATCAAATCGAATTATTGAACAATGCTTACCAGGGTGGCAGAGTTGCACTTACCGCAGAAAATTACACCCAAAAGGAGTTCAACAATCATAATTTTTTTAAGAGTTGCGATTTTTTACGAGCAACCAAATTTATTATATTAATCCACAGTATTACTTCAAAATAAACTTGGTATAACTTTGATACTTTAGAGTTAAATCATACACTTCCGTACAAACAGCACGGGGTCCGCGATCTACCGCAGGTAGATTGCCTACCTGATAATGTACTGCCGCGATTCAGAATTTTTATTCAGGGCAACGGGAAGGATAAGATAAATTTTGAACACCATACACGTTAATGAATTGAACAAAGTTTGAGTAGGTAGTATTGAGTTGATCTATTTAACGGGCGACGAAGTGCACGGGATCAGCTAGTAATATTATATTTATATTATATTTACCTGTAAAGATACTGCACCTAAAACTACTTGAGTACTAAGTTCAGTATGTTTTGCAGTTGTTTTTAAAAATTGCATTCCAATTCTGGCTTCATTTTTTGCAATATCAGGTGTATGGTTGTGCTCTTTTTCACTTTCATGAATAATTTGACCATCCTTCAAATTAATACGACCACGACATTTTTTCGTATTGCATTCGATACATCGCCAACTACTGTTTTTGTCAAATCTATATAAATATCCGTTATAGCATAGAAGATCTCGACCTTTTTCACTTTTAATGATTTCCATTTTATTATTAAAATTATGATTTAAAAAAATTAAAATGTTAAGTACAATAAATTGAGTAGTGTTCAGTGCACAACGTGTGAAAATATAGGAAAGAACCTACGTCTACTGCTGCGTTATCGTCGTTGGAATTTTATTCTATTTCGATACGATAACGAACGATGCGGCAAATAAGTAATAACATTATCTGATTAATGGTTATCATCAAACATAAAGATTATCTGACGGGTTATATAGGTATTCACAGACACTGCGAACGAATTCAATTTTAATTTCGTCATTTCGTATACAGCAGTTTTGCACTTAATACTAGGGATGGGTTTTTGACCGGTCAAAATCTTTTAATGACAATTGACCAGATTTTGACTCGTCAAAATTGTCAAAATCGGTCAAAATCTTTTTTTTTTCCTGTCCTTAATTCAAATGTTATATTTAAATGGAAAAAGTTTATTAAAAGTTAAGACCATCAAATAGTAACAAAAAACATTTTTACACCTATTTAATAATGAATACATACAATTTTGTTAACAAATAAATGAAATAATAAATATCAGTCTTTACTTTTTAGTTTTTATTAATAATGCATTATAAACTTAAAATAAGATAAAAACTTAGTTAAACAAAAAATAAAATATTGACATCTTTGAATAAATAAACATAAATTTCAACTTTCAATAGGAATTACTAATTAATCACAGTATAAAATACATATATATAAACTTTAAATTTAAAAACAAGTAAGTCATGGTCATCTACAATCTATATAATTACATTAAGTTAAAAAAACTTAATTACTATCAATTTGCACATCAATCTCAATGTTCTCACTATCGTTGTCTTCAATTTCAGGAGAAATGAAAACTGGGTCCTCTGTATCTATTTCCATATTTTTCAGCAATCTAAGGTTATGGTAAACAGATGCTAATTTTCCAGTTGTAGATGTTTTAAGTTTATTACGGTTTTTTGAATGGATATTTCCCCTAACAGACCAATTACGTTCAGCACACGCTGTAGAGCTTGGTAATGTTAGCAGTACTTCAGCAACATCAGCTAGAACACTTTTTTTTTTTAAAATTACCTTTCCACCAATTTGCTGCTGTAATAGAGTTATTTTTTATAGAGTTAATTGCTGTCCATGATGAACGACTTTGAAAAGGACCACTTCTAGCTTTGAAATTAATAATGTCTGATATAATACTACTTTCTTGTTCACTATTAAGCTCCATGTCTACATTATTTAAATGTTTCCAAATCAACTTAATTAAATCAATAGCATTGTCTTCTTCTTCAGATTTTAAATTCTCTCCTTGGTGTCTTGGATCAAGTAAATAGCATGCATGATGTGTAGGTGTAATTACCTTATTTATACGGTGCTCAATTAATTCGACTAGGTATGGATTTTTCATTTTGACTTAGACTTAAAGAAGATGAATAATTTTCCTCAACATGTTTTTTTACTTTCATAAACTCATTATAAACTTCTGATAGTTCACAAGAATCAGACTCCATTTTGGTAATTGAATTGGAGACTGGTGAAAACAAATTTATAAAATGTTGATTTTTTAACCAAAATACTTCTTCATCCAGAACCCATTTTACTATTTGCTTAAACAAATTTTGTTGATTTGATGGTATAGAAGAGGCAATTTCTTCATCAACAACACTTGATTTAAGAGCTTTTTTGTTTATCTGTAACTGCTGAATTGATTTAATACTAGAAGCCCAACGTGTAGCTACAGATGTTGATAGAGTTGAAGTAATCCCATACTGTTCGCGATACTTACTAAAAATATGAGCAGCGACATGACGGTTTTTGAAAAACTGTACTATTTTCTTAACTTGGATTAAATGAGTAGCATATTTTTTTTGTTTTTCAACATCCATGGCAAACAATTGCATAGAATGAGAGGCACAACTGTATGTTTGGATATGAGGATAGTTCAAACACCGGACTGTTTCGGCGCGGTTCAATTACACCGCGTCGTTCACAGGTACGTGTGGTGCCAGTCTGGCCATTTTCATTGCCTCTCTCTCGAACCGGTCACGCTGTGTCCGTGCCGCCGGCCGTGGATTTTTGCAGGCGCGTTACCGGCACCGTGCGCGCAACGTGTTGTTCGTCGTTGCTTAACCGTTGGTCGACGCTTTTGCGTCGCCGTGCACTTTTAAAGGTTTGTATAGTGTGCGACGAGCGGTTTTTGTAATTCCGTGTGCCGCCAATAATATTCCGTGTGCCGCCAATAATATTTCGTGTGCCGCCGCTACGGTTTGCCGTTTCACGCGTGCCGCCACTACCACGTGTGCCGTCAATTTCGTGTGCCGCCGCTACGGTTTGCCGTTTCACGCGTGCCGCCACTACCACGTGTGCCGTCAATTTCGTGTGCCGCCGCTACGGTTTGCCGTTTCACGTATGCCGCCACTATCACGTGTGCCGTTGGTAGTAATTTTGAGTGCCACCGTTAACCTTTTGTGTGCCGCCACTATCATCGTGTAACGCCGCTTGTAATTCCGTGTGCCGCCACTATTATCCGTGTGCCGCCACTATTATCCATGTACCGCCACCAACTCGATCGTGTGCCGCCATTGCGTAAGCGTGCCGCCGATCCAAATTGCGTGCCGCCACCACCTTATTGTGTGCCGCCGCATCAACCGTGTGTTGACGATTATAGTCGCGTGCGTGCCGCAGCGATTTCCGCGGGACAGCTGGATGTCGATGTCTTCGCAATCGATCCGGAGGAGTCTCAAGTCTCACTTTCATCAGCGTACCAGGTCAATTGATTTATAATTTATGTGTTGATATTTGTGTGTTCATTTGTATTTAATTATACCTATTGTAAGATTGGGGCGCCCTCCCTTTGTCATATACATACTATTATATATTGCGTTAAGTGTATACAATATAGTCATTTTTGGCGTTAATCCGCCGTTCATAATTATTTGGTGTTTTGGTGTTATATTATTGTGGTCACCTATACTCGATACTACAGCGCAAGTCACGGCAGACAACTGCCACAAATCGTAAGATCTGTCGTGGCGCAACATTTGGTAGCAGAGCATGGTTCTTTTATTTATTTAATTAGCGTTATGGTTCGAGTGTTCAATCAATGAGTGACCCTTTATATTGTTCATAATTCAGCGATTATTGCTAGGGATAGCTTCGGTTTCAAATAATTCATTCAAGTCGACATTAGTGTCGCATTCGTCATATCAAATTATTATTTGTTTAATTAATATTTATTATTACACTCTGGGTTTATTATTATTTCTTTATATATATAACGGCACAGCGCGCATTTCAATAGGCTATACCCGATTCGTGATAGGCACCTAATTTGTTCCGTAGGTTATTGCCTCGTTGTCGTCGATCGATTATTGCCAACTTTCGTCATTGATTTCGCGTCATAGTCAGACAACAGTCAACATGGGCGAGACAGCAGAAGATAAGGAAATAAAACGCGTCAGACGTCTTATCACCAGAGCTGACACAAAACGCACTATCGCTGTCAAGAAAATTCGATCAATTGATAGCCTCGCTAAACGCGCAAAAATTGATCCTAGTCTTATGGATGAACTGCATATAGCGGCTGCGACGTTGGATGATTTATGGGCACAATTCGAAGCAGCGGACAATGATGCGTTAGACAGTTTATTGGAAATAAATGCCGAAAGCGAATATTCACCCGAGTTGCCAGCCGAAGTGCTTTCTATTATCAATGCTATTACGGCAATCGCCATGCAAGGCAATTACGATAATTTCAAGAATGCTAAGCGCGGTCTAACTGAACAAAATCATGCCAGCGATGTACCAGTTAAGCCAACATCGAGACTACCTGAAATCCCGTTACCGTCGTTCAATGGTGATTTTAATTATTGGCCCACGTTCCGCGATCGGTTCTTCGCGCTTGTTGGCGATAGGACCGACATACCGAAAATCGACAAAATGCAACATTTGATCGGATGTTTGCAGGGTGCTGCAGCTGACGCCATACGCAATATACCCGTGTCCAGTGACAATTACGACCTCGCGTGGTCCACGTTATCGTCGCGTTTTCATCGCCCGCGATTAGTCGCGAATGCATTGATCGACAAGTTACTCAACGCACCGGTGTCTCAGCAAGAAACGTTGTTCGATCTCAATAATTTTGTATCGCTCTTTTCCGAAAATATTGCGTTATTAAATGCATTGAACATCAAGGACCTCGGATCATTCATAGTGTTCTCCATGGCTTTTCGGTGTCTCCCGGCATCCACACGCAAATTATTCGAGTCGTCCGCCCCCCCCCCCCCCTGGAGTTTCCGACTGTGACTGACTTGCTGAATTTTGTACAGTCCCGTGTATCGATTTTGGAGATTGCCGGAGATCATCAGAAAAGGCCCAATAATCGACCACAGTCTACATCACACAGCAACGCGTTCGTCAAAAAGGTTCCGTTCAAACCAACCACTACATCGTTAGTCGTTTCGAAGCCATCGAGCTCCAAGAGTGACTCCTGTCCGAACTGCCGTGAAAGGCATACAATTACTGACTGTCGGAAATTCGCGTCGTTGTCGGTCGAGGACCGCAACAAATGGGCTCGTGATAACCGTGTATGCTACACGTGTTTATCGACCAATCATTGGGCCAACAAATGTCATTCAAAACTCCGCTGTGCAACATGTTCAAAGAAACACCATACGCTGCTTCATGGGTTTTCAACACGACGCCATTCAGAGAGCGGTCCATCTAGTGACGATGCACCCTTCTGTGCTGCATCAACGACACACAGGATCGACGATTCATCAGCCGTGCTATTGGGCACCGCCCTCATTCATATCCGTGACCATTGTGGTACCTGGCAAACGGCCCGTGCCATCGTCGATTCAGCATCCCAAATAAGTGCCATAACTGTGTCCTGTGTTACTCGTTTAGGACTCCGGCTGACAAACTGGACAGCACCGATTACTGGCCTATCCGGCGCAGCAGTTGCTGATGTCCGAGGTATGGTCGATTGTGTCGTCCAACCAAG